TGTGTGTGTGTGTGCGCGCGCGCGTGCGTGCGTGTGCGTGCTTGTCTATGTGTATACGTACGCGCATGTATGTGTGTGTGCCTGTACATGTTTTTTTTTTTTTTTTTTTTTTTGTACGTGTATCTTTATTTTTAACAAAATTGTCACAATTATACATCTAAATAGGAAAGTACATCACTAACAGTTTAGGAAATCTATTTTTCTCGCAGCATTTTCCTATTTTCAATGAAATATACAGCTATTATGGAGAACATTTACTAAATACTCTACATTCCCTGCTGCATTACTGTAGATGCACTTGTCTTGTGTATATTTAGACTAGAGTAATAATTCATGTGTATTTTCCTATGGGTTTGCCGAGGCTGCAGTTTTCGTATGTGTGAGTGTGTGTGTGTGTGTGTGTGTGTGTGTGTGTGTGTGTGTGTGTGTGTGTGTGTGTGTGTGTGTGTGTGTGTGTGTGTGTGTGTGTGTGTGTGTGTGTGTGTTGTGTGCGAAGCTACGTGAGAGTACTTACGTGTGTGTTAAATAAGTTTCGTAAATTGAAGTTTTGTTCGTCTTCCCTCCCTATTCGAACATAGAAAACGGGAATTTATAATAACATACGAGTGAAGTTTCGCGTTCACCATGTATTTGGCAGCTTGGAAACAAATAAATAAAAAATAAACTAACTAAACAATAACTAAATAACCAAATTAATAAATGAATAAAGATTTCAAGAGAGAAGGAAAGAAAAGAAAGGTAAGATAATAAGAATAAAACATCCAACTTCAGAAAACACACGAGTTAGGCTTTGTTAGTCTGTTTTTGGCCGAGAGCTGACGAGAGTTGTCAAAAGCCCTGAGTCTGTGGAAAGCAGACTTCAAACGACAGCATTCCCCATACCCAGAGGCGCTATTTAAGGGGGTGGGGGGGGGGGGGGGGGGGAAGGGAGGAGGGGAAAGCACATAATACCCTTTTTCATCTACGTCTAAAAACATGCATCGTAACAGTGGCATTGTATTGTATATGCGACACATTATATTAATGTCATTTTTTTTTTTGAATTGTATGCAACTCTTATAATAAATTGAGCATCACTGGTCAAAGAAAAAGTTGAACTGTTAGAGATCAAACAAAAATCTATTTTGGTCTTTTTGTTAAAGAATTATATATCAAAAAATATATATTGAACTAGTATGCTATTAACGTTTAGTTTTTTGAGTGATTCGATAATAACATGAACTAACCCGTAAGAAAAGATGACTAATATTGTCTTTAATCAGTATATGCGTCTTGTCAGATGTCAAAAGCGTCTCATAGTAATCCCACATAATAAAATAACAAGATTTATAAAAGAATAATAAAGAGAAAATGATGTCTAGATTTTTTATTCATCTATTCTTTTATTTATTTATTTTATTTTTTTGTGCATGCCTCTTACTCTCTTTCATATAAGTTCTGAAGTGTGGTAGCTGTGTCGTATATCAAATTTGCTGACCCGCGTTCAATTCCGCACCGACAGTGAATGGTAAAGATCATCGCTATATGAAGTTAAGAAAATACAATATATAGTACAATGCACGACAATATATCATGCTATGTATGGCATCAATATTTATAAGAATCTGCATTTACACATTCATCACGTAAGGCTGTTTTCTATTATATATCTGTTCCCTTAGTAATGCTATCTGCAAAGACATATATATCCTTAATTGTGTAACATTTACCATAAGTGTTTTTATGAGTGAGTAACCTGTACTTGATTTATAAGTTTACAAAGATATATTGCCTTTATTACAGAATATCACAGTGTTGTATTAAAATTGGACCAACCCAAAGCGACTTCCATTACAGCTTTATTAATAGATCGGACAGTGATGATGTTACGCAGCCTTTTTTATGCTGATCATCACACTCAAACGTACAGAAAATATGCTATATGTGCTTCCCCTTTTTTTTGCGCTACTTACAACCGTAACTATACTTTATTTGTTTTCAGCATTCCTTTAAGCAAGAAAACGTTATTTACACTATCTCTCTCTCTCTCTCTCTCTCTCTCTCTCTCTCTCTCTCTCTCTCTCTCTCTCTCTCTCTCTCTCTCTCTGTTCCATCTCTTCTCTGTCTCTCTCTGTGTGTGTGTGTGTGTGTGTGGTGGTGTGTGTAGTGTTTGTATGAGTGTGTTTCGCAGCAGCGCGCAAACACACGTATGTTTTTCCTTTCTTTCTTTCCAGAATGCCTTCCACCCTTTGCCATATAAAAAGTCTTTTTTCTCCTCTCCTTCGACAACAGTGTAAAGATGTCACTTCTTATTCCCTTGACGTTTTACCTTTTCACTTCCTTTTTTCTCCGAATAACAGAGACGCCTGTCCTCCACTTTCTTCACAGTAAGTTCCTTATTTCTTCATATTTTTCAGCTCCAATTCACTAGCTCTATTCCCAGTCAGAATTTCTCATTTACTTTAAATGCATTAATGTAGACAGAATATTAGCATACAGTAGTGCGCTGAAAACACTTGAACCACAGAATGGAATGTAATACTAATGCTATTTAAATTCTCTATTTTGGTAAATAGAGTGAGTTTTCAGTAAGTGTTTTCGCCTATATCCTCTGCATACGTTAGAAAGATTCTATGGATTGTAACGCAATCGCTTTTATCATATAACATAAGATTTGCTTTACTAAATAGTGTAGAAAGTGAGAAAAAAATATTCCAAGCTGAAATAGTTACTCAGAGGCATGTGTATCAGGATGGATAGATTAAATGATGAATAGATAGATAGACATGCATGTATGTATGTATGTAGAGGCCTGAGTGTACGTGCGCGCCCACACATATACACAAATATGTATATGTATCTGTATCTATATCTATCTATCTATCTATCTATAATATATATATATATATATATATATATATAATATATATATATATATATATATTATATATATACACACACACACATATGTGTGTGTGTGTGTGTGTGTGTGTGTGTGTGTGCGCGTGCGTGCGTGTGTGTGTACACACATGTGTATATGTGTTTATATATGTGTGTGTGTGTGTGTGTGTCTGTACGTGTATATATGTGTGGTGAGTTGGTGTTTGTTTGTGCCTGTGTGTGTTTACATATCTACATTCAGACACACACGCACCCGTAACCCCTGCCACTCGACCCTTCTCCCTCTCCAAGTGTCCTCCTTTTCCCTGTCCTCCTGAAGCCCCACCCTCACCGTGCTCCTTCTACTCCTTCCGCCACGCCCTCCTGTCAACCCCCCCCCCCCGCCCCTAGGCTCTCCTCCTTGCTCTTCCCTTCCTCTTTATCTTCCTCTGTTCCTTTAGCGAGAAAAGGCCCTAGGAAGAGAGACCTGAAGGAGATAGTCGATACTGCTCTTGATCGACGAGAGGCAGAAGATCAGTTGCAAATGCAGGGAAGGAAGGATTAAGATCTCTCAGGTCAAAGGTTAGAAGCTGGAGGCCCTGAGGATGCGGAACGTGTTATATTTATTAACTCCAAGGTGTACTTTTGTAATAGAATCGAATCCCATAATAAATAATGTGATTCGGAAAATTGAAAGGCGTGGCTAATATAAACCTGCTGGTCGGTACAAAGCGATGAATTAAGAAGAGAAATTCTTTATCCGAACAGGAGATCGGTGCAAGAGAAAATAAATAAATGTTAAGTTTCATATACAAGGACTTGGATCAGACGCGTATGCACGGCGCCTGTGTTCGTGTGTACTGAGAGAGAGAGAAGCACGTTGCAAATTGAAATCAAATGTTTCAGAAAGCTACATGTCGATTCCCCCGACTTTAAATACAATAGCAAGCTACCGTATCTATAACATTTCACTTTATATCACGACAGAGAACAATAATCTTCGTCTTGCCTCATTTTACTTACCTTTTTCTTCCTAAATCGAACGAAATACCTGGAAAAGGGAAGCACAGGGCGGCGAGAGGGAGAAGCACTTTCATGAAGGTTACAGAGGCTGTAAGAGGAGACTGTTCATGAAACCTGGAATGTGTGTTGAAAATGGCCGCGCTTATCGGGAGCTCGATGATAATAGTTTTTAGCTCGAGGGTTTAAAACTAGAGGCTTTGGGGTTTCCATTTGACATTATTTGATATATATTAGGTATTTCTTTTAATTTGTGATAATTAATTTCATCTGGTTATGCGGAATATGATTTTTTTGGAGATATTACAGGCTGCGATACTTATATTTTTAATTATTTTTACGTTTTTAGATATTCTATAAATCTGGGATAAGAAATAAGCATTATATTTCACCCGATTATTTTAAACAGGCTTATGTAAATATATTTGAAATGCGTAGATGGAGTGTTTGATAAAAATGGGAAAATGAAAAAGCAGTATATAAATCCTAATCTCCTGAACTTCATCGAGTCAAAAGGAATGGGAATTAGATACTTATAAACAATGATACTTGCCGCCTTGATAATTAATTCTGAAGTAACCATCTGTGTATTGCCACAAGAATGACTGCTTAATGGGTCAAGACACCTGGAAGTCTATAATCTTTTTGATCGGTCAAGTTTCACTCTTCAAGCTTTCTGTTTCATTAATCCAAACACCTGTTAATAAATTCAGGGAAAAGAGGATTTACTGTCAAAGATAAACAATGGTCTTTTGGATTTGTATAATTTAGCTAAAAACACGTGCAAAAACAACTGGTATTGTGAGTCACTTCAGGTGTTTTGGAAATACATATAATTACGATTAAATGCTATTAAGAACTGTACTTACGTCACGCAACGAGTAAGTAATAGTATAAATAAAAATTAGTACTTGTAATTTCAAATGTCTCTTCATTGATTAGTTCGTGCATGTTGCAGGAGAGACTAGAATAAGCAGACACACAGGATACACTAATGCAGTCAAACTAAGTTAAGCATTCGGTTATGATAATCAGCTGGCGAAGCCCTGAATGCTGAAACAGGCCCGGGCTCCTGATGAGGCCCGAGCGAATCTCACTGAACTGAACTGAATGCTGATAGAATGCCGGAGGATATGTCTGTAGTGACGTCATGTATGAAGCTGTGGACGGGAAAATGGACGGGAAAGGAAGCTGTGGACGGGAAGGAAGGAAGGACTGTGGACGGGAAAGGAGCTGTGGACGGGAAAGGAAGTGTGGACGGGAAAGGAAGCTGTGGACGGGAAAAGGAAGCTGTGGACGGGAAAGGAAGCTGTGGACGGGGAAAGGAGCTGGGACGGGAAAGGAAGCTGTGGACGGGAAAGGAAGCTGTGGACGGGAAAGGAAGCTGTGGACGGGAAAGGAAGCTATGGACGGGAAAGGAAGCTGTGGACGGGAAAGGAAGCTGTGGACGGGAAAGGAAGCTGTGGACGGGAAAGGAAGCTGTGGACGGGAAAGGAAAGTGTGGACGGGAAAGGAAGCTGTGGACGGGAAAAGGAAGCTTGTGGACGGGAAGGAAGCTGTGGAAGGAAGCTGTGGACGGGAAAGGAAGCTGTGGACGGGAAAGGAAGGACGGAAAGGAAGGACTGTGGACGGGAAAGGAAGCTGTGGACGGGAAAGGAAGCTGTGGACGGGAAAGGAAAGCTGTGGACGGGAAAAGGAAGCTTGGACGGGAAAGGAAGCTGTGGGAAGGACGGGAAAAGCGTAGCTGTGGACGGGGAAAGGAAGCTGTGGACGGGAAGGAAGCTGTGGACGGGAAAGGAAGCTGTGGAGGAAGGAAGGAAGCTGTGGACGGGAAAGGAAGCTTGTGGAAGGCGGGAAGCTGTGGACGGGAAAGGAGCTGTGGACGGGAAGGAAGCTGTGGACGGGAAGGAAGCTGTGGACGGGGAAAGGAAAGCTGTGGAACGGGAAAGGAAGCTGTGGACGGGAAAGGAAGCTGTGGACGGGAAAGGAAGCTGTGGACGGAGAGGAAGCTGTGGACGGGAAAGGAAGCTGTGGACGGAAAGGAAGCTGTGGACGGAAAGGAAGCTGTGGACGGGAAAGGAAGCTCTGTGGACGGGAAGGAAGCTGTGGACGGGAAAGGAAGCTGTGGACGGGAAAGGAAAGCTGTGGACGGGAGAGGGAGGACGGGAAGGAAGCTGTGGACGGGAAAGGAAGCTGTGGACGGGAAAGGAAGCTGTGGACGGAAAGGAAGCTGTGGACGGGAAAGAAGCTGTGGACGGGAAAGGAAGCTGTGGACGGGAAAGGAAGCTGTGACGGGAAGGAAGCTGTGGACGGGAAGGGAAGCTGTGGACGGGAAAAGGAACTGTGGACGGGAAAGGAAGCTGTGGACGGGAAAGGAAGCTGGACGGGAAGGAAGGTGGACGGGAAAGGAAGCTGTGGACGGGAAAGGAAGCTGTGACGGGAAAGGAAGCTGTGGACGGGAAAAGGAAGCTGTGGACGGGAGAGGAACGGAAGGAAGCTGTGGAGCGGAAGGACGGGAAAAGCTGTGGACGGGAAAGGAGCTGTGGACGGGAAAGGAATGGACGGAAGGAAGCAGAAGCTGTGGACGGGTATATCACTTGCGACGTCGGGAACTTGCAAGTGCGGACGGGATGTATGATACACAGCGTCTGAATTACACTAAAATAGCACCTTATTACTTACAAGAGACAATAATTATTGATAGATTTTTAAACATTTAATTATCCCAACTTTTTAATCCCACAGGGTATTCGCCGCTAATGATCTCAACGCGGGAGATAATTTTATAAAAAATCAATTAATCCTTTCTGTCACCTACTTACGGATGTGAAAGTAGCACAAATATGTTTTACTAACACATAAAATGAAATTTGTAGCCATGCTTCTCTGATAAAGCTGCGGAAGGTTATAGATAGAGGCAGTTGTGAGAAGTAGAAGCATGTGCATTAACATTTATATGTCTTTTTATATTCTTGTTATATATGCTTTTTACCTCCGCCAAGGAAGTTATGTTTTCGGTAGCGTTTGTTTGTTTGTTTGTTATCTTATTGTTTGGTTGGTTAGCAGGATAACTCAAAAAGTTGTGAACAGATTTTTATATTTTTTTTAACCAAAGGTGTGGCTTAGCCTTAGATGCCATTAAATTGATCATGATCCGGATCTAGGAAGTTTTCTAATGGTGCATAATTACCCCTTTTGCCTTTACGGACGTCAACAGATTAGATTTAGTTTTAATTAAATTCCCTACAATGGATATTCTTTGCTGTGTCATGCTGTCTGTTTTATTTGCTTCTAAATCTCCCTCCGTTTGCAAGGCCGGGGTTGCCATCCACTGTCAGCGCACAGAACCAAACGTAGGTCAGCAATATTGCAAGACAAGAACGCTAACCGTTGCATCACACAGCACACGTGTACTTGAAAAAGAGGTAATTTTGATGTAATTCTCCAAGTTTGAATATCTTTTTTGCATCAGTGAAGTTATTCCCATGGCGGAGGTATGCGCTCTCTGAATGCGTCTAGTTTTTCAATCTTTCATATAAAGTTTGTGCAAATCGGTTCTATCTCACATTATATGAGGTAATGAGTACTTCGTGCCTGGCATATGAGGCATAAGTCCGAATG